GCGGGAAGAGTGGGGTTGGGGGCAGGCAGCCAGGCAGCGGCCGCTGCTCTCGCTTCCCTAGGGAGGAACGGGTATTTATAGGCGCTGATGGAGAGGACCTTGGAAGGGCTCAGGCCTCCCAGAGAGCAAGTTCTCGGAGAAGAGGAACCGAAATAGCTGAAGCACAAGGGAGGAGGAAGGGGCGAGCGTGGAGTCAGGGTGCACCGCTGACAGCCGCCCTTCTGCCCTTTCCCTTGCCAGCCTCGCCGGCATCTCCCGCAGTACCACCGTGGTCGTCGCCTACGTCATGGCCGTCACGGAGCGGAGCTGCCAGGAGGTGCTGGCGGCCATCCGAACCGTCCGCCCCGTCGCCAACCCCAACCCCGGCTTCAGGCAGCAGCTAGCTGAGTTCGGCAGCGGTGCAGCCCGCCAGGTGGGCCCGCGGCGGGGACCTGCCCCTGCCACCCGTGCTCTGCGCTGCAGCTGAGCCTGCTCACGGGTCTCGGAGTCCCCGGGGGGGGACCAGGCTGCTCCCCCGCTCCCCTTGCTGGCAGGCTTGGACCTGCCCTTGGAAACAGGCACCTTAGTTTGCTTCTCCCTCCTTCCCCAGGTCCGCAGGCACCTGAAGCAGAGGTATGGGACATCCCCTTTCAACGACGAGGAAGAAATAAAGGCCTTGCTGCCGGCGGGGAGAGGAGGACCATCCAGGACGGAGGGAGCTCTGCAAGGACTGGTCCCAAGAGCCAGAGACATCAGGAGCACGACTCCCTTCCTGCTGCGGGTGAAGAGGACGTTCTCCTGCATCCCGGCTTGTCTGAAGTGACGCCAGGCAAGGGAGAGCAGGGAGAATCACCCAACAGCCTGGGAGAGACGAAGGAGCCGCAGCACAGTGGGCGGGGGGAGCACTGTGCAGGGGAGCCACATCAAGCCCAGCTCCTTCTTCTCTTCTGGGGTGTGAGCGTGCCATCCTCTGTCGTGGCTCTCAGCTGGCGGGGAGGGATTCACATGCACTGCCAGGCTCTGCAGCGCTCGGAGGGCTCAGCCTCTTCGCACCCGGTGTATTGGGGATGCCTGGTGACCGGCGAAAGTCTCTGCCCCCAGGTCACCGCAGGCTCCTGCTCGGGGCAGAGCGACAGAGCCAGTCTCTCCTGCCGCGGGGCCGGCACCCAGGCAATGCCGGCAGCAGCTTTAGCACTTGGGTACCCGCTGCATGGGCCTCGGGGTGCACAGGGTGCGGGAGAGCCAGCGCTCCCCTCGGAGCAGTTTTCCCACCAGCAGCACAAGCTCCCAGAGCCCAGGCGGCTGCGGAGCAGGGACACACGGGTGCATTAGCAGGTAATGCCACCGCACCGGCTCCCAGGCAAGGGTCCAGCTCCAGCCCAGCCACGCACAAGCCCTGAGCGAGCACTGTAGCTTTAGGAGTCCATTGCACCCCATTCCCACCCATCCCAGGGCACAATCTTTAAAAGGTGGGAACTAAGCGTTTAACCTGGCCAGACCTCACTAAAGCAGAGCCTTAAGCCATTTTGCTTAAAGACTTTCTATGCCCCCCGCCCCCAGTAATAAACACCTATTCTCCGCGGTCTGCCTGGGGTGCAGTCTGACTCCCCCGCCATGGCCGGATCAGAAGGGGGACGCTGAGGAAGGTCCCGGCGTGGGGCAGGTCTGGAGGCTGCTGCTGGCCGCTCTCTGCAGCCCAGGGAGGAGCGTGCTGGGGACACAGGCACGCCTGGGCAGGGGACCACCCTGCTGCCTTGCGGGAAGGTTACAAGAGAGGCCAGAAACCCGGGTGCCCCACGGCCGGGCTCTCTGTGGGGACAGGGTCTGCCCCAGGAGAGGTCGGGCAGCAGCAGGCAGGCACTTACTTACGTGGAGCCCCTTTGGCTGCAGCCTCTCCTCTCGCCGGGTGCGGGAGCACTGGGTCCAGGAGCCTGCTGGGTTTAGTTGCTGGGAGCGCTGGGAGCCTGGCACCAGCTGAGCATCACAAGCCCCAGCTCCTCCCTGGACCTGTCTTATTTTCACCTTGGGCAGAGTCCCAGGTGGGGAAGGTGCTGGGGGGGCCCAGCTGGGTCATCAGCATCTGCCCCGCTGGGAGCCAGAGTATCTTTCTGGGGTGCCCCTCGTCCCTGCCACCCTTCTCCCAGGAGCCAGGTGGGGACGGGGGCAGGTGCCTGCAGGGAGGGTTCCAGCTCTGCATGTGATGGGGTGCCAGGCATGGAGTCCCAGAGTGAAGGAGCTTCCTGGGAAGCAGGGACTGCCTCTGCCCTGACTGCTTCCAGGAGACATCAGCGCGGGTCAGAGCATGCCCAGCAGTAATTAAGTCGCTTGTTTACCCCTGCGTGGTGGCTGTGGCTGAAGGTGAGCAGCCGGCTGGGCGTCCCGAGGGTCCCTTGGTGCCCACTGTGCCGGTGCTCGGGCAGTGCGGGGCCCCGTGCGCCATGGGTGCTGCAAGGGGTGCATGGAGTGGCAGAAGCAGGAGGCTGAGATGGCTTTACACCCCCCGCCTGGGGCTGGTGTGCCGTGCCATGGTCCACCTTTTGGCACCCTAAGCCTCCCCTTTTGTTTACACAAGGGTAATTTAGGAGGGTGCTGCAGCAGCTGCAGCTCCTGGGAGCTCGGAGGTTCCTGTGCAACCTGCACACCCGCTCCTGTTTCACCTCCGCGGAGTTTCAGGGCCGTGGTTCCTCCCTGCTGCCAGAACCTTCCTGCTGGGCTGGGTGCTGCCTTGGGGTGACCCAGGCAGGCTGGGAGCCCAAATCCTGCCTCGCTGGATAGATGCTGAGCCCACGGAGTAACCGGAGGGGTGCATCATCCTCCGCTGCTCCTGCACCCTCCGCAGCGGGGTCCTCCTCAACTCCCAGCTCCTGCCAGGCTGCTCTCCCCGCTCCCTCGCCCCCAGGCCAGGTCTCCCCGGCACCCTTTGGCCCCCCAGCATGCAGCAGGGTGGTGGCCCCGTGCCCCAGGACCACGCACCTGGGATGGACGTGTGCCTCGTGCGTGGCTGCACCCTCCTGTCAGCCCCATGCTGGGCAGAGGTATTTACACCCTGCTCACGCTGTAAACCCATGGCAAGGCCAAACGCTGAGCCGTGGCACCTCCAGCCCAGCTCCACGACACAGCAAAATGTATTTATTTTGGCAGTTCTGGTTTGCACAACTGGAAAAATACAGGCAAGGGCAGGGTTAGCTGCGAGTTAATGTTTGACTGCTTTTGAAGCCCATTTTGGCATGAAAAGTTTAAGGGTTAAGTAGCTTTGCCTTCCCTGTGCAGGGAGCAGCATGGCGGGGAAACCCGCTGCTGAGCATCTTTGCTGCTGCCAGGGGTAATTAGATCCCACAGGTCCTGCACGTCACTGCATGGCTGTCGCATGAGATGAATCCCTGGCTGATAAAGGCTTATCCCGCCGGGCTGGGACTGGCTAATGAGCTGGCGGCTACAATTATCTCCCAGCCTTGGATGTAATCTGTGCAAGCCGTTGGGAGAGGCTGTGCAATGACCCCTTGCCATCGCCCTGCTTCCCAAGGCAGAAAGGGGCGATGCGGGTCCTCTGTCCGTCAATCCCGGGCCCTTTTCCCGGAACGCGGCCCCCGACTTGCTCGGACGAGGGGTGCAGGGGAGGCCAGGGCACTGCCCCGGCAGAGGCGCAGCCAGCTGGAAATCCCCTCCTCGCTGGTGCGGTGCGGA